GCTAGTTTCCTCAACTGCAAACATAACAGAGCGTTCTTGAATCAACCCCACATTCCCCCTGAAGCCAAAGAGAAGATAAAAGAATAAAGTCACGTCGAAGCCAAATGACTATTAATCATATCCATTCCCCCTTCCTTTCTGTTCAATTCTCTCGTGGCTATCCTGATTGATTGACGGGTCAAACCATTGAGGCCAATACAAACACATAATCAGGCCCGACAAAAATTCGGGTCGTTTCTGATCCCATGCAAATGAAGTCAGTTACTGGAGAATCGAACAACAACCCTCTTTTTATTCCTTTTCGTACGCCGTTACCCCGCAGGTGGATCGGATTTCGAAATCCTATTGTGGATTGGATTGTCTGTTATATTTCAGATTAATTCTGTTGTTTTAATATTTACAGGTGAACATCTAAACTAGAGCAATCATCTTCATTTGTTAAAGAAAGAAATCACTCTCTTGCCTTTGTGTAATCAGTGTCAGATGTTTAATAGAACATACGCTTGACGTCACGTTTTCGAAAATATTAAAAGAATTATAATATAGAATGGTCAAGAAAAGATCTTTATTATTGTACCAACTCATAGAATAGAATGAATAAAAAAGAATAACACATTTTGTGATTATATTAAAAAGTAACTAAAAAAATATTAAAACTGAAGTACTCCAGTGTATTCAGTAAATGTAAGCATGAGAGTCTTTAGCCGTGCGAAGAAAGTTCAAATTTTGATACATAAATGTTTTGTGTAGAAGTCATTGATTTCCTCTAATTTCTTCAGAACGCTTATCTAATATGTTCACTGATTCAAATAATGTCGAAAGGCAATGCTATTCGAATGCTGCGCAGTTTCTGTATACATAAAATTTTGCATTCCGTCCATAAATTCTTAAGGTTTTGTAAATAATATTAAATTTTGCGCAGAAGTCTTATGGGGGTGCATAAGAAACTGAGGTAAAGAAAAGAAAAGGATTATTTAAACAACTCTTTTACCGCTTGAATCTTTGTAGCAGGCAAGAGACTAACTTTCGTAGCTATCTTGATTGGTTTCATATGCATAACTGATGTTTGAGGAAAATAAATGAAGTACGCTAGTAGGATTAAATTTAAGTATTTTTCTATTATTTCCTTTCTGTGAACTTAAAAGCATCTTGAAAACACTTTCTAAATTGATTATAATTGCCTTTGAGAAAAAAATACATTTTTGCATACTTATAAGTAATTAAAGACATTCTTGCTATGCAAGCTTGTGGTGCAACAAAAAGCGTATAAGTCCGATGCACTAAAAACTCGACATCTGATTGTGGCTGAGTTTTGGATTTGGATTTATTGAATTATGGCAAAGCATGATTATGGCTATCTACCTAAGGATATGAATGCCTTCGTGGAGGAATACGTAAGAGAGATTCGTTCGCATTCCCCTTCATTCATGAGGGAACTAGATAATAGCCACGCAGGTACTCCATTCACCATCATTTGAAACTGAGTCGAATTCAGTCGAAACTGAATCAATATTCAGTGACCTCAGTGACCACTGGTGAATGTCGACTTTGCGAGAGCGAATGGTTTATTTTCAACTCTTCCTAACTCCTAAATTCTTTAAGTGGCAATAGCCTTTGAAAGAGCATGAACGCTGAACATTATGTTTTCTATTTTTGTCTTTTCATAAAAGCAAAAATCCACTCGTATTTCTTTCATTTATACAAAACGTATAGATTTTTCTTAAAAAAGAAATTGTGAAAAAAAAAAAAAAAAAAAAAAAACTTTCCCAACGCGGAAGATTTTCGTGTTTCCTTAAGAATCTAGATAATTAAAAATTAAGAGGTAGAATAGGGAAGTTTTTTTAATAGCTTGTATAAATTTTCTTGTTTTGTTAAATCCTCAGAAATCATCTTATTGAAATTTCATCTTATTGTAATTGGGTGCAAACTTTTCGTCAATCCTTGCACACACATGCCAGTCTCTTAGTCATGAAATCAATCTAATTTTTTCCCTTCGGTATCGACGCCTCCTCCTCTTCAAGTTAATCAATCATCCGAGTAATTGAAGTCGATGACGGAGCGACTGCCGCTCCATGAAAAAATTTCTCACATTTAATTGAGCGGAGGTTTTAATTGCAGTTGCAAGCAAATGACAACCTTGCTTGTAATTGCAGTTTAGAGCAAATGAGCGACGACATGTTTAAACAGGAATATGCAGCAGCAAGGTGGTTATTATCCATCATCTTTAGTCAATTTAGTTTATTTCTTTACATTTAACTTAAAAATACAGTAATAAGATATTCAAACTATAACGCCTATGTATGGTAAGAAATTAAGTGCCTGTTCATTAACTTAACATGCTGATATCGCTTAGTAAAATGATGGTCTCATATCAGAGGACGATAAATTTTTACATTAAAAGAGAGTATGCCAAATTTAAGTTTAGGAAAAACTGAGTCTTAGAATAATTTAAAAAGGAAAAAAGAGGAAGGAAAAAAGCCTTAAAATAACTTCGGTTCTGTAAATCCTGTTTTCATTAGCTAGACATAAAAATCTTCAAGTGCGGAAAATCGCCAATAGCGAAACTAAAAACTCAGTAGCATTGCAAATATGGAACGAGCATAATTATTACGTTATTAATACTGCACGCGCATAATTATTTTATCCGTGTATTTTTTTTGAAGCTAACATTCAAAATCAAATTTTGAAACATTTATTTTTATACAAAAGATATTAAATTTAAATTAACAATCATGAAAATTTGGCACTTACCTACGAAAAGAAAACTGTGCTGCTTTTTCAATGAAAGAAAGGAGAATGAGCTATTTTAGAAAGATTTTTTATCTTGATTCTGATATGTGAACACAATAATATAATAACTATCATGAAGCTATTCAGAATGTAAATGAAGGAACCTGAATCACTTTAGATTCTTGAAATCGTTCAGCGTTCATTTGAGGAATTTTGATTCTAAATGTATTCACACTGTTGCGTGTATTTTCTTCTTTCACGTTCGTACGGGGCTCGTGAGGATTTGGAGTGAATAACGACGACACTTGATGAAGTATCGAAACACACTTTATTGACCGGTATTAATTAGGACACCTCCAAAATCTCTTTTACAGTCGTCAAACTGTTATAAACACGCTGACACGATTAGCGACACAGCTTTCAGGTTATCCAGCTATCACGGTGGAGACAGCTTCACTGCAAAGCACCAGAGTACAGCTCCCGACTCTGCTTGGTTATTCTCGAAACTCCACGTACTCTCGAGATTCTCCACGCTACAACTCGCTGTGCACTCGACGACACACAGAGCACGGCTCCCGACTCTTCGGTTCAGTCGTTCCTGGAGCTCAACACGCTCTCTTGATGATGCACTAACTGCGAAACACTTCCTCGGTGCATTCGAGGACCTACTCGCTGCCCGGCTGTCAACTCGATCGACTACGCACGGCTCGCTAGACGAGACACACTCTCCATCAGCTCGCTAGGCGAGACACTCACTATTTCGCACTCTCAAAGACACTCCTGACTGCTGACCAGCAGGGTTTATATAGCTTTCGGCTTGTGTTCGAGAACATTCTTTTCTAAACCGGTAAGAATTCGTTCCAGAAGGTTCTCCATCCGTCCATGGTATATCACCAAATGGGCGATTTCTCGTCAAATGTGGCAACCCTGCCTTCCCTTGACATTTTATGGCAACCCTAAAACTACTTTGCGGGGAAGCCATCTTACCGCGCCTGTACATTGCGTAACAATACATAGAGTTTTGCGGATTTATGAATGCAGTTTTGTAGTATATCCAGAAAGTGGTGGAAACACATAAGACACAACAACTGTGATGAAATAAACATCGATAATCAGCTTTTTACTATTGGAAATCCTATCTGCATTAAGGAGAAAAACGAAAGATGATCCTTTTAAAATATTTCAAACATTTTCTCTCGTGGTCATTGTAAAGCCGTGCCATCAAAAAGACATTCCGCTTTTAGAAATAGCATTAACAACCTTATGGTGCTTCCATTTCATCCTTTTATCAGCTGCAAAATTGCACGGATTCTTCTGAAGGTCAATTTTCAAGTTATTTTCTCACGTATCAATAAAATGCATATTTCGATTCTTAAAGATTCCATTTATGACTTTAATACTTGGGAAATATATAATGTACCTTGTCAGTGCGGTTTGACGTATATAGTCTAAAAAAAAAAAAAGCGTTAAAATTTCGCATCAAGAAACACGAACCTTATGCCCAAAAGGCGAAATTAACGTGTCTTCGATAACTAATCATAGTTGAAAATGTAATCATAATTTTTTACAATGTTTCTTCCATTGGTTAATTGGATTTGTTGAAGTTTTCCACACTTTCAAAGATATAACTTGTTTAGTAATAATTTTAATTCCAATACAGTGCTTCCTAACGCTTTTAAAATTATATTTAATTTTTCAATTTTGTACTGTTTCTGCCGATAGATGGCGCTAACTTCTCGTTCGATTTACTCCTTTTGAGTATAAATACAACTGGGGCTTTCCCCTCGTTGCAGATTTCTTTGCTCCTGAGGAAGAACGACCTGTACCTGTTTGCCCTCAAAACCGAGAGAGTCTTGACTAAAGTGTACACCAAAAGTAAAGTTGTTGCTTTGCCTAATTTTGTGTGTTCTTTGCGCAATTCTCTTCTGTATTGATTTGAAACAATATTAAAATTTTTTGAGCCATCTGAAAAAACGTAATTTGTTTAGAATAATCAAAGTAATATATTCATGCAGAATTCATTCACAGGAATATCAGGAAAATAAATATAAGGCCGAGAAGAAGATCTGTAAATTATGTTTGACGATATTTTTGATCCACTAATGAAAACTTATATGCATCAAGTGACGCTAATTTTTTGTGAATAAAATGACCATGTATATTTAATTCGCAAAGTAACAAATATAATATTTCATACCATATTTTAATGATATTTATGTTTATTCTTATTTTTGATCTTATTAATGAAAAGTACAAATTTTCATTTTCAGAATATTATCCTTTATGAATACGTCCCAACACTACTGGAAGAAGAAATTTCCCCTTACAAAGGTAAGATTTGCAGTTTTTATTTTATGAATTAACTTAATTCTCTAAAACACCTGAATTATTAAAAAATGTTTTAATGCCTTGAAATTTTTAATTCAGATATAGTTTTTTCAGATTCCTTTCCTCCCCTTTTGCATTAAAAATTGTTTTAGCCGTAGTTACGAAAAGATGAATTTTTCAATCATCATTGGGCTTAAAAATAGCTGAAATTTTTTGTAATTTTTAAATCATCGCTTGGCCTAATTAAGAAGACAGCAAAACATTTATATTTTGATATATTAATCATTTTTATTAACAATTTATTTTTAAAATGTATACCAGGTATTAAAGTTTAGGTTAGGTACGTAGGTATTAAAGTTTATTATCGCGTTTGTTAGTTATATCATTCAGCATAAGCATTTTCGTGACATTCTAAAACGTGGACGTTTCCGTTTTCATTTGGTATACTCGTATATAGTGTTTTTTTGTTTTTTTTTTAAGTAAGGGCCGTTTTATTGTATACACTAATAGGTGGCGCGCGCACCGCAACCAGTCCTTACGCCGTGTCCCGTCATCCCTTGGAAAAGAAATATGCTGTGTAGGTAACCTGTACGGTCTGTTCTGTGTCTTTAAAGTGTTCAAAATTATACTGCAGACATTCACTTGCAGATTTGTGAAGTTTACGGAGCTGCTGCCATGAGTGAAGGCAAAGTGCGTAAAAATGGGTCAGAGACTTCAAAGTTGGCCGCAACGAAGTCCATGATGGGTCCGTCCGTCTCCGGTCACCCATCTGTGATCACAGACGATATGGTGGCTTCAGGTGTAGCGAAAATTCTTGAGAACAGACGCTTTACTATAAGCACTCTTTCAAACGAATTTCCGAAAGTGTTTAGAACAGTGCTGTACAAGATTCTTTCTGAAAAGTTAAGGTTTAAGAAACTGTGCTGCCGTTGGGTCCCTAACCTCCTAACGGAGGACCACAAAAACAAACGATTTGAGCGTTCGTTGAATTTTTTGACTCGTTATAACGAAGAAGGTGACGCCATGTCGAATCGGATCGTAACGGGGAACGAAACTTGGGTTTTACACGTCACGCCCGAATGGAAGCAGAATGGAGTGGAGACGCACACATTATCCTGTAAGAGTCAAGGCCAAGCAGACTCTGTCCCAGCGCAAGATCATAGTATCCGTATTTTGGGATAGGCATGACGTTTTTTGGTCGTCTTCATGCAACCATAAATGTGGTAGAGCCAAAATGCAGGAAATTTCATTTATATGAAAGTTTCATGCAGTTGTCCCCCTCCCCGAAAAAAAATTAAGGAATCTTCTTGTACGGCAAAATATAGTGTCATGTTATCCAACAATTTCTAATACTTGTTTGAGTAGAATTTTCAGTTTATCTTGTTAAAGATATTGAAAAATATTTATGTATCTTATAATTCCGGAAAAAAAAAATATTTTTGCCACGAAAATTTAAACAGTATTTATTTTACAGCTATTTTGATATAAGTACTTGAGAGAGCGATTAAGCTAAAGACATATTTTCTTCACACATATTAACGTAGTAACGATAATGCCGAGATACACCGTACTCTATGAACTAACCCAAATTTCTTTCAAGTTCCTCAAAATAAGAATTGCAACTAAATAACAGAATTAATAATATTTAATAAATAACAGAATTAATAATATTTAATTCACTCTGCCTCTATGGAACAATCATCCAAATGTTATTTCTTTTACTCGAACGTGTGTTCTTTTATGTTCCATAATCAAGAACATGCGCATATTCAAAATAATTCTGATGCTCTAAATTTTTGCACATGATAAGAATAAAATTTTGAAAACATTAAAGCAAATCTGGATGCTCTCTGAAGTACATTGTACTATTCTTTTTGTGTATTTTAAAGAGAAAAAAATGTCAGCGCGTCATATAGTAAATTCACTTGTAGAAAATGATCTTTAATAGCTAAAGATTAGCTAGCATGAAACGAGTTATATTAAAATGATATGCTTGTGTTTTTCCAGGATACAAGCCGGATGTCCACCCTGGAATCAGTCACGTCTTCCAGAGTGCCGCTTTCAGATTTGCCCATACCATGATACCACCCGGACTTTATCGAAGGTGAGAATTGCTCTACCATGTTTCTGATAGATGAGATCGTGCTCTAAACGGGTTGTTATTTTCTTCCTAACTGCAAAAGGTTAATGAAATCGGATCGTGGAAACGATGTTTTCTGCCTTTACTCAGACTTTTTGCCTATACTCCTTTACCCTTTAAATCGTGAATGAACGCAACATTGAGCACTGCACGAAATTACTTCATTGGAAATTTAAAAAAGGGGGGGGGTTAGTAAAATCCGTTATTTTGTGGCTAAGCGAATCTAATTCCAAAATACAACAGAACTCTAAATATTTCGGAATACAAACAATGGAATAATTGCTACATCTGTTCAACCCCTTATTTTACATTATGTTTAAGAATTAGTTTATACTTGCCTGACCACAAAACTCAATCACGTTGCGGCATTTCAGGTTCATTTCATCAATTCACTTGATACAGTGTGTTTATGCATGTTGAATTTTACTCACCATTTGTCTGGCGCATAATAACCCTCGAGGTTTCGTGTCATTTAAAAAATCAACCAACCAACCAACCAACCAATCATGTTGCGATTGTAGGAAACAAAGTTAGCTTAGTGTTATCAGAATCTTTTGATATCTGCGTTTTAAAGAAATCTTTCAAAGGAGCTATATATTTATCTGGATAATGAACTCAGTAACAGATGAAAACGTAGAACAAATTTGAAAAAAAGCTCTTCGCAATATAAACTAGATATTTTGCTAGCAATAAAAGCAAATATAGAATTTTACTAATAAGTAGCTCAATAATTTTATCATGAGAAGAAAGGAAGAAATTTGCGGGAGTCTTCGCGGAGAAATTAGTGAAAATTTAAATTTTAGGATATTTATATTAATAGTTGGGGGGAGGCTGTTTTTTCTCCTAGAAAAAGATTTATAAATGAATTAAATTAGAGAAAAGTATCATTCTGTACCATTATTTTAGATCAAAATTATCATTTAAATGGACGATGTTTCTATAAGTGTATGTATTGCATAACAATATGTTACGGTGAAACACCGAAATCTGGAGAACGTCGACTTTACCCGGTGAGTGTCAACATTCACATATTCGCTTGGTGTATGTCTGAAATATTTTCCATATACTCTTATGTCGACATTCACCATGTACTAATAGTGAATATTGAACATATGAGAATATTATATTTTCTCCGCAATTCAGTCGGGAGAAAACGAACTTGAGACTTATCATAAAATAAGAACATAAGAATTTAAAACACACAATACATTCAAAATGAGAAAGGAAAATAATAGAAGTTAAAAACTTACTAAATTATGCGATTCAAATCTTGTTTATTGCAACAATGTAAACTATTATAACACTTTGAATTGCACAAAAGGCCCTTGCTTTTACAACTGCATTTATTTGTGGAACACTTCCTTTTGCATTGACAGCGTGTACATATATAACTCTCTGTTCGACCTACAGCAGAGTATATCTGTGATTGTCGCCATACACAGATGAGGGTCCGAATGTGCAACAATGTAATGCAATATTCGATCTTTCAACAGACGTATTTGATGAATGTTGACATTTTCCAGTGAAGTCGACATTCTCCAATTTCGGTCTTTCACGGTAACATATATATGTATTTTCTTCATTATATAGCAAGTTTTAAAAAATATTCGTAAAATCTCAGAATATCTCTTAAAACTGTCGAAAATAATTGCGGTAATTCGAACTGCAGTAAAATTACTACATTACTCATAACTTCTATAAACGATAAAATTTTAAAAATGAAAACTTTATTCTTTACAAACAATGCGTAATTAATTGTTTTTAAAATCCATTATAGAGATTATCAAGTTCTTAAATTTCATGCATAAATTATTGACCTGATAAGTGAGTTCGTTTTCAGAACTAAATAAAATAAATTAAAATAACAAAATTTTATTTTAATTTAGTGAAATTTGTTTACGATGGTAAAAGATTGTGAGTATTTTTATATGCTTCTGCGTTTTCTTTTTTAATCTTTATTCTTTAACCTGACACTCATGAATACTAAAAAATGAAGAAATTGGAATTTGAAGCTTATCAAATTGCAAAGCGAGTTGCAAGTGCAAATTATAGATAAGACTCGCTGAAGCCATGTTCACGTATTTGTAACTGAAAAACCCTTAAAAAGAAATTTTGAAAATTTCAAATAAAATTTCCTATTTCATTTCTTGTTTCAAATTTTCGAAGAAGTCTACAATCATCCATCTTGTTCTCTAGGGTCATCGGCTAGGCTCTTGTGATTCCATTACAGCACTCAGTTGCTGAATCATTTGCAGAGGTAATTGAAATAATGAATCTCCAGAGCTGGAATGGGTGGTGCTACGCTGCACAGGTTACGCAAACATCTGTATTGGGCAAATCATTTACAGCACTCTAACAAATCATGTTCAAGAAAGTAAAGAAGACAGATGTAGTGTTTCGTGTCATAGCTTATATGCTGATATTAATTAATTGCGTGCTGTAAATTGAAAATTGTGCTTCGAACTAATGAAAACTAACACTAATAAAAATGACATTAGGAAGCGGAATGTAGAAGCAGAATTAAAATCCGCGTTGCACTGAAACTGAGATCCCAACGGGAGAAAAATTGAATGTTTGTATAGTACCAGAACATTTGTCATGCACATTTGGTTCACTTACAACTTTTATGCATTTTATTATCACATTATATAAATGAAAATAACTATATATATATGTTAGATGAATAAGAAACAGAAATTGAAAATTACGATACATACGTTAATTAAATGCGTGTGGTCATGTGTATGCGTGCACATATAAATTAAGATCACTTAATGTTCATTTCGTACTTGCGTTACTTTAAAGTGTATGCATATACAGTATACAGGTGTTCAAAAATGTTTACATGTTTTGCTTACTTAAAGAGTTGCCCTAATATTTTATTTCTAATAATGGAGTTTTGAAAATTCAAGAAAATTTACGAAAATAGTTTCTACGAAAAGTTAGAGAGTATGACGATTTTACAAATATAAAATAACATAAAACGTGGTCCCATTTTATCATGAAGTCCAATTAACAAAACCTTAGCAGTACTTTTATAAGTTAAATGCATTATGCTCTATAAGTTTAAGTGCAAAATTCGCCATTGCATCAAAGAATGAATTTACTTGCTTAGATAAATTTTAAGTGCCTATTTTTTAACGATTTTGATGAAATTTTCATCTGGTTTACAGAATGATTGCAGAATAAAATTAAGTAGTAATAGTGATTTATATTTCTCTATCGATAAAATAGCATCCAAAATTTGGTTTGGAGCTTGAATTTAAGAAGCATTATTAATTACTAAAATCTGTACGAATACTGTATTATAATGCATGAAACATTTTGCATTTAACTTATTAAAACATTATGAATAGTTTGTTATCTTATCTGAACCTTAGCTCTCCGTAGTAAAAAGGGTTTTGTTAAAACAAAATTTAACTTTCTGTAGTAATACCTTCTGAAGAAAGTTTATGCTAATAAAACTGTTCTAATTCCATCAGGGAAATAGTTTTCGTAACATTTTATTCTTGATGTCATTTTTACTGAAAATTTGCTACTGAAAAGTGAAAGATTGTCTAGTATGAGGATAAGGAAAACGATTCTGTAAGCACTTCATATATCTTGTGTAAAATTATTTTTAAAAATATTTAAGAAATTTTCAGTTTTCTTTGGCTTTAATACACTACTAATTTTAAACTTTCAGTTGGAGATAGTTTTAAAATTCTTTCAAAATAAGATTCATTTTAAGTTGGCTCCGGCGGCTTAAGGGTTTCTTTCAAAACTACTTTCTAAGAAGAAAGCTTGACGAATTACTGTTCTTTAATCGCGTGCATTCCGGCGCTAAATATTTAAAAACTTATTTCATAGAGCTATTAATTTTTATTGTTATCTGACTTTATTTTTATTAAATAATGAAAATTTGGCTACATTGTCAGAATTATCGGAGCTCAGTAAATCGAACAAAATGCGTTTGGTAAAATAGGGCTGACTTGATTCTGCGTCGACTAGCTTGGTGAAGGACTACTATAAAAAATTTAGCAAAATGAGAAATATCTGCAAAACGCAATAAAATTAAATACAATGGTACCTCGGTATACACCCGCTTTGAAGTACAGGGTAATCTTTTTTAAAGAGACAGTGTTTGGAGTGCCCTGTAGCGCGATCTAATAGCCGAAATGGCACCAAACTTGGTATTTAGACTAATCAAGACATGGGACATCAAGACATACAATCGTAAAGTTAAATTATTAATGTTTATTACTACATTATCTACATTAACTTCCCCGTGGAGGAATTGGACTACATTGATTGTGAGAACCGTTCTCAGAAATAACACCGTGCATTCTGTGCACAACGTTCTCCATAGCCGTATGTAAGATATCACGAGGAATATTCCGCACTGTCTTTGTTATGTTGTCCTTTAGAATAGACAAATTTGATACTCCACCAACGTAAACTTGAGATTTCAAATAACCCCAGAGCCAAAAATCGCATGGCGTGAGGGCAGGGGAACGAGGCGGCCACGCAACTGGAAAACTGCGACTTATGACTCTATCATCAGTGAAGTTTTGGCGCAACAGCTGCTTTACCTTATTACTAATGTGTGGCGGAGCACCGTCCTGCATACAGATTGTCTGTTGGAGACGGTTTCATTGCAGAAGTTGTGGAATAACAAACGTTTGCAGCATTTCGTGGTATCTTTCTGCATTTATGGTGCACCTTTTAGAGTCCTGTCGGAGTGCTGGTCTCAAAAAAGAATGGCCCAATTACGAATTCGGCTGTGAAACCATACGAAACAGTGACTTTTGATGAATTTAATGGGATTTCATGCACGGTGTGGGGCTGCTAAGAAGCTCAAATTCGGCTATTTTGTGTGTTTACGGACCCATTGAGATAAAAATGGCACTCATCTCCCCACATAATGTGCCATGGGAAAGCATCATCAATTTCTACCTTTGCAAGAAACGATAGAGCGAAAGTCA